TCATTGAAAATTCTATTTTTTCGATTGATTTATTATATTTGCTTTATACGATAAAATGTCAAAAACTGTTGATAAAATATGAAATTTTTATGTTTAAAATATCTTTTTGTAAATGTTTCAGCTAGATTTCTCTTACATTAAAATAAATCTTGAAATCAGTAAATTTTTTAAAAAGAAATTCACGTTCAAAAGACATTCGAATTACATCGCAAGCACTAATTTTGATTGAAATTTAATATATTTCATCTTCTCAAGTATATATAAATCTATAATTAAAATAATTTCAATTCATATGATTATTATCATCATAAATAAATTCGTTTGAAAATAATGTTCTAACAAGTAATATATTTTTTTTTAATTATCAAGTTATATGAAAAAATGTTAGAAACAAGACTTGATGAATTATGTATGATATTGAAGATGTTTTAAAAGCAACTATACTTTTATTGTTCTTAATTCTTTTATATACCAAAGTATGCACAATGAAGATTCACTGCACATCGATATAAAAAATCTCTCAAGCTAAGCTTGAATGATATTACGTTGAAAAAGTTATTATATTTGACATAATTTTATCTTTTCTTTAATATTAATCATACTTTTGATAGTGATATCGAAAACAAAATAGTAATAATAGTCAAATTTAGGACGAAAATATTTATACTTGAACTTTTTGTATTTTTATTCAAATAAAAGTATTTTACTTGCGATAGAAAACAATTTTTTTTTGTCTATCGGAAGTAACTTTCTACTTCATTGAAACTTGGATACTTACTTGTAATGTTAAAGCGATTATCGTAAGTTTCCATTCTTTGCGATGTTCAAACCACAAGTTCATGCAGGTCTCTAGTTAAAATTTAATATTGAATCTTATGTAAATTTTTCTTAATGTCCTGGAGAATTATATTTAGTCAAGTTATAAAATTGAAAAATGAAAACAGATGACTAAGTGTGTGACCGTTCAGCACCACTTGAAAAGACCTACTTCTGTTTTTGGAAAAACAACAGGGACGAATTCATACTAGTTTCAGTTCTTTGCGAGCCAGATTGTGTTGTTACATTCTTACAGATGACTTGTACAAGTAATCTGCATTGAATTTATCAGTACATTACAAATAAAAGTTCTTATTAAAGTATAATATTATCATTAACTTTTTGATAAGATGATAATATTTTGATTGTTGAAAATTTTTCAGAACTAGTTAATCTTATCAAGGAAAATTATTTTATTTATACGTCAAGTAAAAGTACCAAGTTTGTTTTTTTATACTTGCGGTACTTGTCCTCATCCTATGTCTGATAGTAATAGGCAGAGAGAGATTAAATCCTTTTCTATATCACTAACAAAAGTACGATTTATATTAAATGAAAGGAAAAGAAAATTGTTTATTTTGTTCTAATTGTATTTACTTAGATATTATTTGTCTTAATTTTTTTTTTTGCTTGATGAAATATCTTATCAAGATAGGAAACGTCACAAATTTTATATTTAAATAAATTATTAATATCAAATTACATTAAATTAAAAATATAGTAAAAGAGAAGAATAAAATTATGTCAAATATGAATTTAATCTTCTTATCAAAACATAAAAGGATTATTATTGAAATCTTGAGCTTGAACAACCTTCAAACATGTAAAAAAAATCACTGTCTTCATACTATTATTTATTGGGAGTTACAAAATATATTTTTTGTAGAATGCATTGGATTATGTTTCCAAGCTCTTTGTATTATTTAATCTTTTCTATTCCAAAGCTAGAGAAAAATTGCTGAAAGTTTTCTGAAAACACACTTTTCAAGTTGATTAATTTGACGATGCCAATGGTGACCTGTCCAGCTTTTTCCATATCAAGCTTAGCTGACAATAAAAACTGAACGAAAAATCAACCAAATACAAAGTCGCTCATTGATCATAAAGAGATTATTTTTTTTTAAAGTGTGTGACAAATTAAATTCAGCTTTTTCGTTCTCTGATGGGCAGATTTACGGAAATCTTTCATTGACTAATACTAGACTCTTGAAATTTTGATCGTATGAATGGTATATTTACATATTCAATAATTAATTTCAACAAGAATAAATAATGTTTTATCATTGAATAGGAAATTTTCGTGTACATACTGAGCATTGTTTACTTATTGAGATAAATATGAAAAAAAATAAATTTCTGATTTGCAGTATACATTCGCATGTCTGAAGATGAATAATATCAGATTCATTGAAAAATTATGCTATAGGTAATTCTTGTTTATAAAATACATTTACTTCAGATTCTAGAAAAAATAAAATTTGATGCGTCTATTTAAAAAAATGTAAAAATCGTACAAGAGGAAATAAATCTTTCGTTAATCTGTGTTGTCAATAGGTCTTGAACAATTATTTTTTGAGTTCGATGAGTAATGAAATTGTGTCAAAATTTTTTTTTTTTTTAGAAGTGAAGTTTTAGATATCCTATAAGCAATAATTCATCTATAAGAATTATTTTAATCCGAGACAATTCCATAGCAGTAAAGAAAAGTTTAAAAAAATGTGAACTGTATCTTTAAGTTTTCATAATTTTATGAAATCGATGGTTACCGAGAAATGCATTATAAGCTTTGCATTCCTTTTCAAATAAAATTCGTACTTTGTTGATGCTATGACATGAGGAAGTACTAATCAAAAAGAAAATTATTTTGTGTAAAAACTCAGAAAAATTCATTTTTTTATGGTATCGTTCAAACTTTAGACATCTGATGATTGATTACTATGATGCATAAGTTATTTTGACATTAGTCTCACGAGGAGAAATGCCTAAATGATTCACACCATTTTTGCTGATATAATGCATACATGTGAAGGGTTTTATTCTAAGAAAAATTCTGAATGGATTTTGGCTGATGTGGCTTCTTTGAATAAATAAGAATACTTTTACTTTCATATTATGAAAGAATTTATTTCAATAAAACTGATAGAACTTGTGACAGAGTCGTTCTAATATGAAAAACGAACAGTTATTTTCATTAAAGCTTTCAAGGTTCAAAAGAATAATTAGATCTATCTGGTGACGAAATTTCAGATAGAAATTCTTCAATTCAATTTTTCGCAAAAGCCGTCAAAATCCGTTAAAAAGATTTTTGTTTTTTATCCAGAAGGGCATGAGTAGTTATCGTTTCAGGACTACTTAATGTCATTTATATCCACATCTGCTTATGATTTAGACTTCTATTTTGTGAGTTATACGCAGTTATTTTTATATTATTTTCCTCTGTACGAAGAAATGAACATGCTCATATCTATGGAAAGAGAGCATATCAGTCGCAACCCTCTTAGACTTTGTCTTAGAATAAGGTCTCACACACATGTAAAATATCAGTAAAACAATGTGGATCAGTTAGGTACCTTTCCTCGTCAGCGAAAGATTTCAAGTTAAGATTCACACATCTAACTTTCTATAAATACTTTGTTATGGTTGAAAAAGTATCCTGAGATACCTGATTGACTCTTTCTACTGCAAGTATATTTGTTCCAAAAAGTTCAGAATCTTATACTATTCCGAGAAAGAACAGGCTATTACCTGTTATTAATATCACTTTATACCTAACAAGTTTTCTTATTGTCGACTACTTTTGATGTTATTACATGGAGAATTCTGTATGCATGAAGTTTTATTGTTATTAAAAGTTCTATGGCTGACAGGTGTGTTGTTTTTTCTTAACGTCACGAATTCGGAAGTATATTTCACACATTCAGGTTAATATACGTCTTTGTATTTTTATTTTTCAACGAATTCTGGTTTTTCATTGTCATATAAGAAAGTACATGTACAAAAATATTGCAATTCAGCTGATTTCGATCATCACATAAATCTTACACAATATTTCAGCAATATAAGATTATTTACTTTTAGTTCGAGTTCTTTATCGAAAAAGTCAAGCAAAACATTAAACGAAAGACATCATTCAGTTTATTGAATTGTATGCAGGTGTATATCCGTATTCACTGATACAACTAGCTTGTTTACGTCGAAAAGAATAGCACGATAAGGACTCGGATTATATTGAATTGTTTTCTTTACTTTTCCATCTTTTGTAATCTGAATCAGACGTCCAGTCTCATAGTCGACAATGAGCCATTCATTAGAAGTGAGTGAGCAACAACGAAATGCTACATCTTGGGTGCACATGATATTACGGTCAAGTATCCAGATGCGATCGAGTGTCTTTGCATATCTTAATTCCATGCGAAGCGATTTCTTGGAAGCATTCATAACCATCAGGGCAAGATTTCCATTGTTGTAAGCCATATCTGCGATCACTTCATCTTTCATACATATCAGAGGATATTTCGATGTTTTGATCATTTCAATTGTTGGGAATAGTGTGAATTCCGTAATAGATGAACCCCATTCATTTGTGCTTGTAAAGAGAATTGTATCAGAACATGTACATGATAACCATTCTTGTTCTTGAATTGCATACGCATTATCAATGGACATCGTATTTTCGTTAATGAGAAAGATGTTCTTTTTTCCAAGTACAATGAATCGATCTAATGTTGATGACCAACACATGTCTCGGATTGCACCATAAGGCCATAACGTTTGTTTGGCTATCTTCATTTCTCGATCAACTAAACATAAGTTTGGGGTTTGATGTATCAATAAGTATCGAACATTGCTAGTTATAGGTCCTGAACCACCCTTAGGACACACAATTGTTTTGTAGACAAGTGAAAGAGTTGTTAGATCAAGCTCTTTTTCACTCGCTTTCGTAATACAAACGAACGTGTCATCTATTATTAATGGGCGAGTATTGATCGTAAAACATGTTTGTTCAATGTTGTTCATATTTGTTTCGAGCAGACGAATAGTTTATGTCAACGAATCGATATCTTTACGAGTTGTTTCTTGCGCATTGATGAGTTCACTTATTTTCAAGTGTACTCGATTGAGTTCTTCACGTTGTTGGCGAATGTTCTCTTCAATAAGCTGATCAAGTTCCTGCCATTTTTGTTCAAATATGCTATCAATCTTTTTATAACAATCTTGACGCCATTCCTCAAGTTTTCGACGACTATTGCTAATTGTGTTTTGAATATTTAGCGTTTTGAGACGATCTTCAAGTGCATTAATTTCATCAGTCAAAGGATTGAGTTGAGTAATGAGTAAAGCATTATGTTCATTTAAATGCTGTAAACAAAGATTTTGTTGACAACAATCACACAATCCACGTGATGTACGGCCGCATTTGTCGATCGAACATGATTGAGACATTTGATGAAAATCGTAAAGTTCTAATTTTCTTGCAATAGTTGCTGTAGGAAGAGAAAATGAAATTGGTTGTCATGTGTCAAGTAGAAAATGTTTGCTGAAGAAACGAAAAAAAGAGTAATGTTTGCATTCGTATGAGAAAAGCTACTGGTTTTTTTTATTTCCAATTTAGTAAACAGGTGGCGTAAGAATAGTGACTTTACAAAAATAACTATGTTAACTTCAGTAAAGATGATCATTTGTTCAAAAGTAGAATATTCATTTTTTCTGAAAAATTGACAAAAAAAAGAAAACAATCTGTTTCTATTACAAATCACATCGTACGCTGTGTACATGTCTTATCAACATGGCTTCAAATAAATTACATACTAAATTAAAATAAATTAACTAATGATGTTAAAAACAAAGTATATAGTTTCAGTTAATTTGTCATTTTAAAAACATTAATATGATGTTTTGAGAATAAACAGAAAAAAATATTGAGAAAAATCAGCCATTACTATTTGTCAGTACGCTATAGAATTATCGATCTATTCTGAAGATGCTAAGGTCTTTAACTAGTAATTAGAGCTTTTTGGAATACTATGTTCTAATTAACACTGCAGATTGACATACTATTGGAACAATTATCGAAATTCATTTTATTTCTGGATATTTTTCATCTTTTATTATGAATCTGAATTTTCATTTTGGCATAAAATGCAAGCCTGAAAATAAATCATCTCGTTCCACGTAAAAGAGAAGACAAGATGATGGCAAAAACCTCTCTCAGTGTACTCAATGCCTTCTCTAGATTGTGGTTTTCTATTAATGAAGTGAACATTAGTTATATATTGCAAAAGCTGAACTGAAGTGTATGCATAGAGACATTAAATCTGAAAACTAAATTCTCATCATTTCTCGCCGATCGCGTTCGAAGGTCGTAAGTTACTCTTACCGCTTTATCCACTGATTTTCTTGTGATTTTTGTTTCATATGTTCTTCTTTGAGATTAGCTTCACTAACAGAGTATAGATTAGACTGATCCTTTGACAAGACTAAAACCTGGCATCCGAAAACCCAGATAAGTAAAGTCTCGGCTTCACTTACTATGAGTATGACTTCAGTAAGCGTCTAACTTCTTATATTTACTATTTTTATTATTAAGATGAATCTCAAGTGTTGTTTAAATTATCACATAATATTGTAGAGATCTCTTATTATTTATTACAGAACTTAGTGTCGTTACAATAGACTTATAATCTTTTCAAGTATTGATAAAAAGTAATTTTCGATTTTTCTGAATAATTTCTTCTTTCTTAGTCTGTAAAAAATGTTGGAAATGTTTCTAAAAAGTTAGTTTTCATGTAATTTCAATCACATTTACGTCGAAAATTTTCAAATTGCACGAAACTTTCAAATGTTTGTAGATTTTGTTGACCTAAAATGGTCTATAAGACTAATTTCTGGGCTTGCTTTTTCTTTTAAACTTTGTTTTATAGAAGTAAACTGTGCCTAAACCGTTTTTTGAGAATTTGTTTTGTCATTGCTCTAAGTATTTCAGTCTGTCTTTGTCAAAAAAAAAACCACTTTAAGAAAGATTTTTTTAATCCAAATGCTTAGAATAAAAAATTCTACAAACGCTGAAATTTTCATCGAAATTAGAATTCACTTTTGTACAATTTAATTCACGCCATATAGAAATATTTTCCTCTTAAATTTTAACAAAAACAGAATTTTTTCATCTGTGTTTGTTTCGCAATTTGTCGAAATAAAAAAAATAGCAATACCTCGGTCATAGTGTATGTTGTAAAGCAATGGATTCTCTCCAACGTCCTGTATATGGATATCTTCAAGAATTCCATTGTCTCAAACGTTTTCTTGACTCAAGAATGTTCACCCTAAATCAGAGTGGTCCTTAACATATTATAATACATCACTCGAAACATTTAAATAACATATTATGTTCTAACTGAGATCATGATCAAGCATAATTCTTCATTAGAATCCTATTTTTGAAGATTTTCTATCAAATCATGATTATATATATACGTCACCCTCCATATATACATACTTATTGACGCAATTTAAGAAACTCGTCGGATAGATAAGTTTAAATCAGAAAAACCTACAAAGCCTGAAATTTTCATGCGATCTTGTCGACATTCGCTAACTCATCACTAGAACAATCTCGAATGCTAAAAATTGAGTTTTCGAAGTTTCAAAGAAAATCGATTTAGATAAACATATTTCATTTGAACTAATTAATTTTGTGTTTAATATTCTATATTCAGTATTAAAATGTCAGTTTTCGATTTGCCCTAGTCACTTATATATAATAGCGACTAATTGAAAATGAACAATTCGTGCGCATCTACTTGACATCATATGAGTCCTATAATACGATCACTAATAGACCTAACAATGTAAGTCTCGTATCGCCTCCATGGAAGTTTTTTTTTCATCATTTTCTAGAAAATCAATAGATGACATACAATATTTTAAATAGCTCCCTTTTTCTCAACTGTCGATACTGTCTATCTTCTACTGTATTGCACGGAAAAATTCTCTTCCTTTTTTAAGCATATTTCTAATAGACATCTATAGAACGATTTATGACTATTTTCTTGATATAAGATATGTAAGATAAAAAAATTAAAAGTTCTCTAGGTAAGAAAACTCAATTTCAAAACTACATCATTTCTAAAGAATTCAATATTAAATATAAACTTAAATATTTATTTTTATTTTAATTATGAAGAACAACCACATTCAACAACACGCATATTTTCATGTCTTTTTAAAACTAAATTTGGTCCATCATAATATAAAAGAATTGTTGATGAAAAACGTTTTGGTCGACAACATGGTGCTGGAATTTTATTTGGATATTTTTGATTAAGTAAATTTTGAACAATAAAATAAGTACCCATATTTGATTGTGTATGACATGTACCAGAACATATATTCATTTCATATGAACTTGGTTCAATAATCCATGATGACCAATTTAAATCAGAAAATGTTGTACGTAATGGACGAACTTGACAATAAGATGGATCATCAGGATATGTAATTAATTGATTATCATAAAATGAAGATAAATCTCGACGAGAAATCAAATGAGTAGATGTTCGTCGAAAATATAATGTTAAAAAACCTGATGAAAATTTTTGTTTTATATAATTAAATTTAATATGAAATTTTAATGGAAATGATCTTATATATTGTGTTAAATTTATTTTTAACCAATATTGATCTTTTTTAAAAGTTTGATTTAATAAAATATTAAATGTTGAAAAAAATATTTGTATTTTAGATATTTGATGAATAGGTAAAATAAATTCTGCATATATTAAATATTCAAGTGTTTCATTATATTCAAAATAATAAGTCATATTTGTTAATGAATATTTTGATTGATTTGGTAAACTAATAATAAAATCTATATCATCAGATAAATATAAATTTGAATGTTGATTTTCATGACGTTTTTTTCTTTTAACACCTATTTCATCATAAATTTGTCGATAAATTGAACGCATAAATTTATTCATAATTATTGATGAACGGGATAAACTTGGATTAGGATGATTTGATGATAAATTCAAAAATTCTTTGAATAAAGATAAACGTTGAATTTCTTCAGGAGATAAAGTTGTCGTTGTTGTTGTGGAAGCTTTAAAAAATAAAAAAAATAATAGGACACTTTTGTAATCAATTTTTTGTTGATATCTTATGTAACAAGGATATTTAATCACGACTGGAAATCTACCGTAGTCCGATGAAAGACATCATCATTTTAACATTATACTAAACTAGTACAATTAATGTTTAATCCATGAAATTTACTAAAATTCTGACTACTAGATTTATGGACACTCGAATTGAGTGTGATGCTCTACTTGTCTTCTTGGTAAACGATTTAAGTTGATGTTTCGAGTGAATATATTTCACGTATGTAAATGACTATGTAGAAAATTTCGTGCTCTATCGATTTGAATAGTTTTTGAGGGAAAAAATACGATCTTATTAGCTTTTTGTATATATTCAAAGTTTTATATTAGTTCGAATTTTAAATAGATACAGTTTTTACATTGATATCGATGTATATTTTGAATATTGTCTCGATAATAATTAAGTTATTCTCTATCAAATGTATTTCATAGGTGATTATGAGAAAAAGGTTTCTAAAAAATCAAACATAAGAATTTTGTGATCTTAGAAGACAATGTGAAAATTACACTAGTTATAGCCATTGTAGAAAACACAAAAAAAATGTATTTTTTTAGTAATACTATGTGACGCTTATAACTTTTTAAGAGAAGGTCATAGGACATGAAATAATCTCTAGTTTTGTGTTCTTAAAAACTTATTCTCACACAATCTTCTGAGATCTGATAAACCTTCTTCTCATAGAATGACTATATGGATTTAAATTAAATGTTTGATATTCTAGAAAAAAATCACAAATATTTCAGTTTCATATTTTTGATTAATACTATAGTTGAACTATTATTTGTTTGTTAAATGTTTTAAAAATCTCAATTTTAATTTGATCTAATAAAATTACAATCATAATACATACTAGTTGTTGATAATGTTGATTGTTCAGAAATTGTTTTAAGAGATTGTATAAGAAGAAGTTGTGATGATGATGATTGTCGATATTTAATAGTTGTCAAAAGAAATAAAGCAATAATAATAATAATTAAACAAATAATTGTAATTAATGTTATAATTACAAAAAAATTTGATTTTGATGAAGTTACTGTTGTTGTTTGTTCTTTATGTTCCATCATATTTTCAAAATGAATTCATAACTTTCATCTTTCTTTCTCCCTCTCTCTTCGTTTATCGCTCGATATTTCTTTTTTTTTTTCTCAATATCCAATAGAATACATTAATTGCATGATATATTTATTGCATCGTTCAACGAATAGAATAAAACCATACATATAGAACATACGAACATTCTTTCTAATCATGAGTATAATTGTTCAAGTGGCCGTAAGCAATCGAATAAAAAGATATATATATGTATACATGTTTTTCTTATTGCTAGAAAGCAGCTAATTCTTCTAAGACAAAATTATGTAATTGTACCGTGAGAAACGAAAGACAAGAAAAGAAAAAAAAACTACATATTTTTTTTTTTTTGTGTATGTTTTATATGAATTAATCCATAAGTTTGCATTCTATGTAAATGGACAAGTCATTAACAATTCACTTTAAATTGATAGCTATGATCAAGAGTATCTTCTTAACATGACAAATAGATTGAAATTTGAATCGATATATGTCTTTGTTTTATAGTAACGAAATATATGCGAAAAATAAAAAAAATCAATTGTGTGAATATTTATCTTTAGTTCATCAAGTTAAAAGCAATACAAATGACGCTATTGAATTGACTTATACATTGTACAATATAGATCGATGCCGACATCATATAACAAAAAAAAATATATTCTCATAGACTTGCTGTTTTTGTCTTGTTATTATTTTTTTTTTCTTAATCAATAACTCACTTCAAATAATAAAATATAGACGCCAAAAAATCAACATAGAAGATTATCTCTCTTCATTTATTCGAAGAGACAATTAATTGATTGTCTATTTAAGAGAACAAAAAAAAAACTATAAATAAATTCACTAGATGAAAATTAAAGAAAAAGGCATTGACGTTTATAATCTTTTTCTTAAAAGTTTCTTTTTTTCTTTTCTTGAACATTTGTAGCCTTACCAAAAAAAAAATTAATACTTCAAGAAAATATAATCACTTTCAGTGAATATCGATTTATCTATTATATTATGAAATCAAGACAGAATTGAATATTTTATCTTACAAAACGCTGTTCTAAACATAATGATTATTTTGTTTCAATAACACTGAAAAAGTTCAATATCAGATTGTATTATGTCATATTGTCACACTATTCACAAAGAATAAAGAAAATACATTCCTTTTATTATGTTACATTAGTTTTTTTCTTAAAATACAACTTCTAAGCGTAATTATCATAATGCTAAGGCTTTTTTTTTTTACTTCAGTTATTTTAATGTTTTACATGACTAATCTGATTTTTATTACATAATACAAAAAATTTACTTCTATGCAACAGATTTACTTTTCTCATAATCATTGCCGCGAACAATTTACTTTAAAAAGAAAAAAAAATGTTCTTAAAAAGACATTGACAATGTCTTTTTTATATCAGATCTTTGTCTATATATATATAACAGTGTCTTTTCATTTTTGTATACATTCAATTATTGGAATCATATTTTTTAAAGGTTAAATAAAATAATTTATTCGTTTGCATTTAACCCATAAATAATCGATCAAGACTAAACATATTTTATTGCATATTAGCATTCAGAATTTGTGGTAATGATTGTTACACCATGTACCGAATTCAAAATAAAAAAAGTTTATCTTGTTCATTTTATTTTACACAAAGCAATGAATAAATATAGCTTAGTGGTTATGTTATTCGACATATACTATTATAGTACTGTGTTCGAAGCTCGGTGTCGCCAAATTTATTGATCTATATGTAAAAAAGAAAAAAGAAGCAGTGTCGAATTGACAAAGATGACATGTTTACTTTTGTTTTGATTATGTATATATATATATATATATATATATAAATTAGGAGCTGCTCTCTGCCCTCGAATAGCTCAAATCTATTCTAGGTTTCGTATGCAGCTAATAGAAATCATTTCGATCAAAATATCTTCATAATTTAAGAATACAGCTAATCATGCTTGTTCTATAATATCTTGATCAACAAATGAAATGTTTTTTTTTTTCTATTTAAATAATAACTTTGTTCTATGTATATATATAACTGGAAAATCTCATATTGTAGTCAAGTATTTGTTATAATGTAAAGTTAACCAGAATAGATGTTTTTTTTTTGACAGGATAAAAATAAAATGAATGAGTTCAATTAAACACTAATAGAAGAAAAAACCTCGTTTTCTTCATATGATGAATTCTTTTTTCCTGTAAGTTATGTAAGGAAAAAGAATTTCCTTAGTAATGCACAACGAACTAACTTTTTTTTTTTCTTAAAAGTTTATAATTCTCTCTGTTACATAATTCTTCAAGAAAGAATAGACATTTTCTTTTCAACTGTCGCGTTGGGCTTGTTTCAACCTTTCTCTTTTTTTTTTTTCATTGTATTATTAATCTCATCATTGTTACAATGTTCAGTAGTACAACATGTTTCTGTCAACTATTTTGGCCGAGAGAAAAAGAAACAAAGTAGCCTTGAATTGCCTTTACATTTTGTAACCTCGACGTTCTTTGATTCATCCAACCACACAGTAAGAGAGGGACCTTTTTATACCAATTTTGATTCCTCTTTTTTTTGTTGTAAAAAAAGGACCTTATCATGAGAAAAGTAAAAGAACAGAAAAAGAAGCGTTAGGTAGTTTTTTTTTCTATCTTTGTTTTCTGTCAAGTTTTCTTATTAAGCATTTAGTTTGATGTAACAATTTAAAAGAAACAAATGAAAGAACAAATTTTAATTTTATTCTTTGTTATATTAATCGAAAAAACAACATGTTCATTTTGGAATGAAATTCCTCCGCGATGTATTTATGATCGAACAACATTATTTTCATGTTGGAATACAACATTTACACATCCAATACCTTTATTTAATGATTTAACTTATACACTTCAAAATCATTATGTACAAATTCGTGATTCATATTTTCAATTATCATTAAATGATTTATTTATTTATGTTAGTTCAAATATTGAAAATTTATTATTAATTAATAATACATTTTCATTATTATCATTTAATAAAAGTGAAAAAATTTATTTTCGTCTTCTTCAATCATTACAAATTCATGATAATAAAAGTTTACAATGGTTTCAATTAAATACATCATATTTTCCACAATTAATTAAACTTGATTTATCATATAATCAATTAACAAATAAAAAAATACTTTTATTTAATCAACAATATTATCCTATATTAAAATATCTTAATTTATCACATAATCAACTTGAATCAATTGATAATTTAACTGGAAATTGTTTAAATAGAATTGAAAATTTAATATTATCTTTTAATCCATTAAAAACAATTATTAATAAAATTAATCAATTTCAATCACTTATTTTTCTTGATCTTTCATCAACATTAATTAAACAATTATTTAGTATAACATTATTACCACGTTTAGAAACATTTTTATGTTGTTATTGTCAAGAAATTTTAATAGAAGAATATGAAAAATTTCTTTCAAATTGTTCACAATCATATAATTATTTAATACTTGATTTAACACAAACAAATATTATATCATTAAAATTTTTTAATACATATATTAAATGTATTAAAGATTTAACATTTAATAATCAAAATTTAATTGATTCAATATCAATACAAGATCTTTTATTTAGTATAAATCTTCAAAATATTCAAATGCAAAATATAAATAAGATTGATTATATAAATTTAAATGTTTATGATCGTTTAAAATCAATTGATTTTAGTTATAATATGAATTTAAAATATGTTAGTTTACATTTAATGTCTGATTATACTTATTTACAACGTTTAATAGTATCACATACAACAGTTGAAGATTTTTCAGTTAATTTCAATAATACAATACAGACATTTTTACATATTGATATAATCGATATGAGTCATAGTCGTTTAGAAACTCTTCATTTTCTTAAATATCTAACATTTTATGTCTTAGATGTAAGTTATAATCGTTTAAAAATTATTGATATTAATCAAATATATTTTCGTCATGGTATATATGAATTAACTTCAATGAATTTATTAAATTTATCATCAAATGAAATGGAATTTATTAAAATAAATTGGAATAATGAATCTCCACATACAATTGATTTATCACAAAATAAACTTAAATCAATTGAATTACATGGTCAATCAACATATACACTTTTATTAAATGAAAATTTGAATTTATCACTTACACCAATAACATTCAATATTGATTTACCTTTATTACAATATCTTGATTTAAATTCTATTCATATTGATTCATTAGAAAATCTTATTTATTTACATAATCTATCAAATATTCATACATTACTTTTAAATAATAATCATCTTAATAAAAAATATCGTACATTAAATTGGCATATTTTTTATCCTTGGCATCGAACATTAACTCATCTTTCTCTTCAAAATATATCACTTGAAAAAATTGATTCTGGTGCTTATTTAAATGATTATTATCATTTATTAACAATTAATTTTTATTCTAATAATCATCTTATATGTGATTGTACATTACAACCATTTATTAATTGGTTAAAAACTCCACCACCATCATTAATTGATTTTTATGAACCATTACAAAAAGTATTAAGTATTAATTGTCCTATAAAATTATTTGAACTTAATTGTAATAGAGGAAAAACAAAATCAACATTATTTTTAACATTTCTTATCATAGGAATATTTCTTATTATATTATTAATTATATTTATACTTCTTTATTGTTATATGAAACAAAAACGTTCGAAATCCTATCGTCATATGTTTACAGATAATGATTTAATAGCATTAACTGAACAAAATGTTATTCAAAGAACTGATGATTAATAAATTTTGTTGATCATTGATTGTAATAGATTTACTTTCTTTTTTCTATTATTAACAAACAAATATATAAATAATAACAAATAAATGAAATGGACAAAATTAGAAATATTTTACTTTGTGAGATATACATATTAATTCATTATTTCATGAATAGTTCATCGATCAACTGATTCAATAACTTCAGAAGTGTAATTCAGCAATTAAGACAGAGAAAATCGCAGCACAGTCAAGTGTGATAAATGAGAGAGGTTAGAGACTCCATGCACCATCGATCAACTATGCTTGGAACCAAATTAATGCCTTCAAACTACAATATCAGTAAAAGTTTGATCAAGATAAGAAGCACCATAAATGATCCTTTCGAAAGGATGTAAGAATACCTATATATTTCTATTGTCAGAAAAGAATATATTTCCTTTATCAACGAGATAGTTACGTGTTCTATGATATACTATTTCTAGAACTAGGAAAAAGATTGATATGCTCAATAAAGGTTCATTAATTACTACTATTGATGACAGCTGCTATATAGAAAAGGTAAGTAAAAAACTTCATAATTTATAATCTTAATAAAGATTAAAGTAAATTCTTTCTCTTCGATGGACTATTAAGATACGCTGTATATACACATTTATGTAACTCATTCTCAATAACTTAAACTATAACGGAACGACCTTCTATTTTATACTCTTGCCTAATCAGTAATCGCTTGATAAATGTCATTATACTGTAAATAATCAGTTTTGTTAAAGGTAAATCATAAACTATTTTTTGAAATATATTTGTTTTATAAAAGTACAATCAATACTCAACTCAAAAAAAATATATTATTGGTATTAGTTCAATTGATTAACTTGTGTTGTTCTTAATGATATAAACTGATTCAAAGTGTACGAAGAACTTTGTTATAATAAGATAAATGATTATTTCAAAGTTAAATACAAAAAATTACATGTAATTATATGTTAAAAACTATCAGAGTCCGAAACGGGGCAGAGTTTTAGCTCCCTGCCTCGCTCCCCAAAAAAATTCTTCGACTCGCGCCGCCCCGCCCAACTTTGATTGTTTTTTCTTCACTACCTCGTTAAGTGTTTATGGAATATTTTTTCCTTTGGTCATATCATTTGTTTGAGTTCATATTGGAAAAAAAAGACACGGCAATAGAATATTAACAAAAGAATATAACTGATCATTAATAAATCTTTTTGTTATTCTTTATAGAATCAATAAATAAAATATTATTGACAGTTGTGGGATGTAAATTGGGTCGTCTTTGGTTGATATTTTCTTCTACTACCGAATATTCTTTATTGACAGTAGCTGAATCGTGTGATATTAGGTACATGCGACATGCTAATTTAGAGAAATCTGGAAAAAGATTTTCGTGTTCATGTCAAAATAAGTATGAGTTTGAACAGTCTTTGTTTGATTTAAAATCAATATTTATATCGATTTCATCTTTTGTGATTAATGTTGACTTTCTTTTTGCCACTTCGTCATCCATTAGCTGTTCAAAGAAGTTTTTCTGTTGAATTATTTTCAATATCACCTGTTGCTGTCAAAGTCACTTTCGGTAGATCTACACTGCAAGCACGACAACATTTTTCTTTTTGAGCTTTTATTAGTAGCAGTAGTTAAGTTAACTTTAGATGAAGAAATGAACACTAATAAAGTGTGTGATAAAGGACATAGTAGGTTTTTGATTGACTGTTGGTGTCAAGTTGAACTTCACCAAAAGGTTTGATGCCGACGTCAAAACATAGGAAATTTTCTGTCAGTTTTACGAGATGTCCTCTGCTAAATTATCCTTAGGTGCATTTTTGTAACACCAAAGTCACTGAATACTAGAAAAAAATCAACTTCTCACTTTCAAAATCATGACATTTATAAACCTAATTTAGCCCAGTTAGGTTGAGCTCAAATTTTATTTTTCTTCAAGTAAGGTATGTCAAGTTGTTTAGCACATCAAATGATGTGCCTAGTTGAACATTCTTAATGTGTCCCTTGTTGAAAAACTACAGAATACGTTAAATACATTCTCGATTCAATACCTATAGACATATATTTTGTATGCCTCTATTGAGTAGTAAAATTTTGCGCAAGTGTTTGACTTCATACCTATAAAATAAATATGCTTCTCTCCTTTTCTTACTGTGTTTGAATAGTGTACAGGAAGCTATTTAATAAATAAAAGCTGAATCGGATTCTAGTGAAACGCTGAATAGTTGATGTTTTTGTGGCATGCAGCAATTTTGATGTTACAAAGAAATGAAAAAGTGTTTATTGAAAAAATGAATATATAAACAAATTCTACATAAAATTTTCTGTTTTACTCTCGTGCACTTATTATCCATTTCTCTCCCATGATAAAGAAAAAAAATTCTACAGATACTATTCACATTTAACGAAAACCTTTTATACTTGTACGAAGTATTGAGTATATAATCTATTGGGCATAGACCCTTATCTTGGGTCTCTATGTATACATTACTTAAATACATAATATTTATATTGTGAAGCTATGACAAGGAAAATTCGGAGATTTTAACTTAACCCCGCCTCATTTTGGTCTCTGATTAGCACTAAGATCAAAAATAGGTATGTACAAGGTAAACGAATGAAGTCGGAGCATATGAACAAGAATTTCATTTTGAAGATGAGTACTATCAATGAATCGAGCTCGATTTTCTATGCGAAGATATAATGTTAATTTTTCAAGATATGAGATACGATGAAGAAGAAGTAGAGTGTTTTGATCATATTGATTAATTGAAAGATAACATTTTGAATAAAAAAAATTTCGAATTCCGTAAATCATACTAAGTAATAATAAGAAATATTTATAACTAAATATATATTTTACTTAATCTAAACAAATGAATCATGCTTACAATTGACTAAGAAACAAACTACTAAAGCGATTGACTGCATGAAATACAACAGCCAATCTATTAGTTGTGAGTCGCTTAGTTACCATGACAAATTCTTCTTCTCCCACTAGATGCATCAGTCACGATTCAAGTCAATCATACGTTTTCAACACCTAAGCATCATTTTGAATCAAAAAAAAGTTTACCGAGATTGTGACGAGTGTACATCTGAAAATTTTTTTTTTTCGAAATTCAGCGGCATTTGAAAGATATGAAAATGTCGAAAGCGATAGTTAATAGCCGATAGTTTCCTTATGTGGTGTTTCATGATTCAATTTTAGAATAATCATTCATATCTAATATGTACATATTTTAATTATCGTTTTTTTTGTGACTTGAAATCGTTCACCACGAAGTCTCAAACGTCTAGAAAAATTTTCTAAATTGCGACACAGCAACTGAAATAAATATGCAAAAACAAATAATTAATAGCTGATAATTTCCTTATTTGATGATGAATGATTTTACCTTGAAGAAACCATTCATAGCACAGACGTCAGATATATATGTTTTCATTATGGTCATTTGTGGCTGGAATCATCTATGACAAAATCTTACAAGTCATGATAAATTTTTGAGATAGCGACTAACTGATTAAAACGCAATACATTGATGATTGCACTCCGTGCAGTCAGTCATTTTTTCTACTTGACCTTCGTTCGGATGTCAATCAAAATTTAAAATTTTTGTTTTCGTCAAAATATATATTATTTGTCTATTAAACATGATTACGACAATTATCTAGGTTCTGTTCTGAAGTTTTAGAACAAACTTCAATCATTCGATTTTTTTTTTAAATATTTCAGAATCAATAAAGTGTACAAAATCGATAGTCAACTTCGTTGCATAGTTGATATTTTTTGCTAAAATTTACTATCTTGTGAATTTGTTTGAGTCCATAGCCTAATAGATAAAGACAATCATCTAATATGTAAAGATTGATACATAAATGAGTAAGAATTGAAGAAAAATAGGTAGTTGATAATAAATGACAGAGTAATAAAAGGTGGATATGACGGATTGAATGTTTCAATAACACTATAGTATTTTAAATGTTTAGATGACAATACAAAATATTAAGTGAATCAAAATGATTGCAACTTCGGTTATTTTGAAAAAACCTCAACATAGGCAAATCTATAATATGGAATTTTTTTGTTCAAAGATGCAATTAAATTGTTTTAATGATTTTCTTCTACAGCTAAAACTGAAGCATTGTATGGTGGTCAAATATGTTATTATTGAGGGAAAGATAAAAATGAAGGTCACATGAAAAAAGAACTTTTCTCTTTATTTCAAACAAATCTTTTGCATGATGAAATACTTTATAAAAAAAAAGTTGAAGTAAAATAATATAAAAATCATTAATGTTCATGGTAAATATAATCACAATTATGTTGTTTAACTGTACAAACTCTTTGAAAAAAAGAGTCAATCACTTTGTGAACATAATTCAGGTCAATTTTTTGGCATGTTGTATTTATTTATTTTTCTTCTTATCTTCTCACGTTTTCATCTTTTGATAACCAATGTTCTTATTAGTGTGGACTCATGCAGAGTAATCTAATGAGTTTAAGTCTGATGAATTAGACGCCTACGAATCTTCAAGTATGATACTCAAAATTTTTGAAGCTTTTTTTTTTCATTATTATAATGAATAATAACAACATCGCGAAGATCTTCATGTTTTGTCATCTAAAAAATTCATTAGCATAATTCAAAGCACTCTTTCATGCAATACTATTAGAGAATTCTTCGATGCATAAAAAAAAAAAGAAATAATTTAATGTATTTTTGATTTGTTGACAGTGAAATAGATCCAAAATAATCAAAATTTGTTTCATATTTTATTTCTCTTAAAATAATGCAAGATTTGACCATCATGCAGGATTTCAGTTTTAGAAGTTTTTCAAATTAATGTTTTTTTATCAACGCAACGTTTCAAAGATTAACCCCTGTTCAATAGTTCATCTGCGAAGGTAAAAAAAAGGAAAAATATTTATGGAAACATTTTAAAACAATTTTGTACCTTTAGATGTAATTTTCAAAATTTTAGAATAAATATTTGAG